ATGGATTTTTGCATAGGTGTTTCGAGAACAGACTCACGTCCAAAAAGTATATCACAGCAAAAGATAGAGGAGGCTGAAATATCGGTTTCTCTTCAAGATTTCCACATTCTAAGCTCGGTAATGATATAGCTGTAGTACTATACGCTATGTAACCATTATGAGGTTAAACAGTAGGCTTGCTATTCGCTAGATGTTTTCTTCGTGCACGGGCGTCAAGGCACGTGATATATGAAATATATGAAAGCGTTTGGTAGAGTATAAAATTGGTTTACGTATATATAAATGTATACCGATTTTATACGTATATATGCTCAACAGCTTGCTGAGTAGGAGAAATATTAGCGGCGGGAAATGCTGTTTTCAATAACGTTCCTCAGCGTTCGTATCACCCAGTTCTTAGGCATGAGCGCAGTTGAAGGCCAAAAGGTAACAGAAAGATCGTTGTACTATAAACCATTCACCTTATGTCTACTACATACTGCCCTGAATATATATCTTCTTAGCAGATTTTTTTAGTTACATACTACTACTTTTAGCGAACTAACACGGACAGATAAAGAGGCGCCCTGTAGCTAAGCTGTATGCACAGCAGCATGTATGAGGGTATAAGCGTATGAATGGCTTGTGAGATATCGTGCTCAATTCGAGAGGCGTAGTCGAGATACAGCGATCTCCAAACGACCCATTATATAAACTGCCGTTCAGCTGCAGCGGTCGCTAATCATCAATCTTCAATCTCTCTCTTTCAATTAATAGGTGTCAAGCTTTAACGGGTTAAATGGCCAGCCAGTTATTTGAAATGGTGGCCGCTGGTTTCTGATTGTACGGTGCCGTTAGGCGCATTGTTGTTGACGTCTGGTCTGATCCAGCAGTCTCTAGCGAGTGGGCTAGCTGGCGAGTGGACAAAGACGACCAGTTCATTAAAGACAATTGTCGTTGTCACTGCAGGATGTTTTGCCTTCGTTGTCGTTGCGACTGCTATCTCCCATTTCGAATAGGAACAAAGCAATGCTAGGGCAAAACAAGGGATTATAGGGTTACTGCAGCCGTCGTCGTGGTGACAGTGGCCTACCAAGTTCTAAAGTTTGTTCGATGGAATGGCTCTTCCAACTGCAATAACGGCGTTCCCGTAGCGACCAGACTCACTGAGTTGAGTTTACCCTAGCTAGCTTTGTCTACGGCGCTTTCGCTTGCATCTCTCTCTCTCCCTCTCATTTTCTTGTTCATAGTCTGGGCTGTCGCAGACCCTCTAGTCCACCTGATTGAACTACCACCGGACTGAGTAGCGAACAAACGAATGGGAGAACAAGCCAGTCAATCAAACCCAACTAGAACTACACGACCGCTTCACTGGCCCGGTTGCTGGCGACGCAGACCTTGTACTGTAGTAGCAGCGTTTGACCTGCCTAACCGTTTTACCTTATAAACTATTTAGGTAGGCAGAAATACTACTGGACGTTCAGCTGGTTGTTAGGTAGCTGGCCAGTTTTTTGTTAGATCTTTCGATGAGCAAACATGGGTTACTAAGCGACGTCTTCTGACATGGATATGGTGCGCCGATGCATACTTTCTAGAATGTAGCGCAGGGTAGAACAGTGATCTACAACTAGGATAACAACACGCAGGGAACAGCAATCTTCTAAATAAAAGAGACGAGCCGTCGTCGATTGACATGAAGCTAGAAATTGTCAATAGTGTGATTGACTCCGGGTAGGCAAGCCTAGGCGGCAAAATCAAAGCAATGAAGGTTCAAGAAGGGCAAGGGGAACTTACGCTAAAGTGCAGTAGATCGGATTAGGGACAGCCAAACGAAAACCTGCAAGATAAGTTCAACCCAGTTGCTCGTTCCACTCTTCCCATCCTGAACACGTTTTCATGCAAAAAACGAGAAGCTCTCATTTCACTGTAAATTCAGTAACATATAGATAAAGCGAACGAGCTTGCGAATAAGCCGAACATTGTTGGCCTCCACAGTGGTTAGGCTTACGGCGGCACGTTCGCTGCTCCTAGACGACAAATCGTTAAACGTGAAAGCTCCATCAGTCACCTTTTTCTTTCTTTTTGCAATCAGACAGCCACAGTTTCAATTTATTGCAAGGAACAGTAGCAAATAGTATAATACACATGAATAATATTCTCGCCGTGTTGTCACGTAATCCACTATTACCTTCATTGATACGCTGCTCCTAGCCGTACACAATCTCAGCGGCAATCAGCTCGGCCGTTTAATGTGACCTTTGCAGTCATCACGATACGTTTTTAATTATAAGGTGAAAGGCCGAGGCGAGTGCATAAAATTGGAGACAACGGTGCGGAGAATCTACACATGGACCGAAGCTGATTAGCGTGTCTCTCTGAGACAAGATTACTATCGAAACTTTGCTCGTCTATAATATCATCTTCTGCTAAAGCCGAAGGCTTGCTTACATCATTTCATGTCTAGTAAATAACACCGATCTGCATTAGCAGGAAGAAGGCCCTTTCGCCATTATTCGTTAGTTTGCTAACCTTCAACGAAATTGCCAAAGGTACCGTATCTGCCTGAGTGCGTCCAGTCTAACGACCTGTAGTTGACCACTCCAGTCATCCATAAGATAAAAAAACAATTTTGAATAAAGTTGCTCAACCTGGAAGTGAACCAGGGATGTCAAGCTGGGTGTGCCTACTCGCTTAAGCTTGCAGATATAATTCAGGCATTTGACGTGCGACAGGTTAGCGGTGACATTGGCCACTGGTAGTGGCAGTTTCCCAAAACCAAACGCCTGATAGCGTTACAGTGGCGCATATACATACGCGCTTTCTGACCGGTCTATTGAACCGCCCCCATAGTCTGTTACGTCCCGCGCTCCACTAACCATTTTCTAAGCATTTCTAACATATGTCGTCAGTGACCTAGCTAGCCTAGATAACTTTCTTCCAAGCTGGTTTAAACAGCAGCTCTTTAGCCTAGCGTGGCATAGCAAGCTCAGCCGAGACCGGTATGAAAGGCTGCGTACGAAAAGTTACCACCGCCAGCCTGTTTGAAGGTCAAAGACGGTCAAAGCATATAGTCTGCTCCGATTGGTGATAATACGATGATCGTTCTGGGGCTGTAGCAGTAGCAACAGGAAGGGCACTACTACCGCTGAGGAAAAATACCGTAGATGAAATGATGGCTTTAATGCACCAGGGATGAGCAGATTGCTGAATGACTTAGTCTATCGGCAGATATACTCTTTCCCAAGGTAGTGCGTATCCTCGATGCCTTTCGCTTGTTTGTGCATCTGTGTGTGTGTGTGAGTGCGACTCTGGCTTGCCTCGCATGCGCCGGCTTTATCTCCCTTTACAGACCGTAATAGCTCTTCTTCCTCTTGGGATCTGTGGACCGACAAGAGCCACCCGAATAAAAGAGCGTCGGTCCCCGAGTCAGGCTAGCTGACGTACATCACAGTGATTCGTCATCCTAGCCTTTGCCGCTGACGCCGCCGCCCCTCGAGTTTGAAAAAGGGGACGACGATGACGAGCTTTTTGGGGGGCGCTGACACCAACCCAGAAAGATTCACAAAAGAGCGTCATGGCTTACTAGGACTACACCTTTGCGTATCGAAGCCGACTACCGTCGTTGTTCTGCTATTGCCTTTACCGCGGCTTGCTCAACTCGTCTTCGATCCCAGTAATGTATGCATTTCTCTTGCTTCCTTGCCACGTCTACATCAGCAATCGTTCCGTGATCGGAGAGGGGGCAAATAGGAAAATACAGGACGAGGCAGTGGCGTCGGTCGAAAGATCGCTGACCCGCCAGCCATTCGCATAGTCAAACAGACGAGCCAACCGTTCTGCCTGGCTGGCTACCACTATCATTTTACTATTATCCTGATGACCAGACATTATAGATCTAAGTTAACAAATTTGTCCAACGTAAATGAAAACAATTAAAAACAGCTCTATGTGTTATTTTTTAATTTGCTGCGGATCTGAAGCTTTTATTTTTTACGCCTACATATGTTGCTAATTTGTATCGTTTTAGTGATATTATCAGATCAATGCAAATCCAGTCAATGAGATAATAATAGTTATTATTACTACCTTTATTTTAACGTTAATTGAAAGGAATATATAATTCCATTGTTGACAGCTGATTTAAGTAGTAAACTTATGAAATTTTTTCGGAACAACATGTTATTAACTTCTAGTTTGTACATTCTTGTACTTTTGTTCGATATTACAGTGTATATCTTATGCCGAATAAACTATGTTATTTAGGCTTCCGAATACTTGAAAGGAGCACCCTAAATCTTTGTTGCCGATAAATTGGCGAAACTGGCCCGTCCGTGTTCTAGTGGATATGGGCTGCTTTGTTGAGGACGTATGTAAGCCACTCTTCGGTTTCCTGAAAACCGAAGAATAAACATGGCTTAGCTTAGCTAGAAGCTCATTTTTACAATATACAAGTAAAGAAAATGCTTTGAAGAGCAGACTTAAACATGCCGATTTCGATTGCCGATGTTATTGATATCATAATATCAATAATAACACTAATTACCACTATTTTACAAACATGTCAAATTTAAAATAACAAAGGCATTGGTATAGTTTCTCTAGAAATTATTGCGAGTGCAATCCTTTGCGATGCCGTAAAGTTTACTATGAAATAAAAATTTTGAAAGCATAAATACCGATTGGTGTCAAAAACATTTTCCGGCGGCCGTTTGTGACATTAGTCAGTAAAAATTGTTTACACTCTCCCCAGCTGACGCTTCAGATTGAACATGAAACTAAGTACGAAAGTCAAACGCTGATCGCCTACGACAACGAGGATAGATCAGCTACTCTGCATTATAATTTTACTAATAAATCTACTACGGGAGCGGAATTAATTATTATGACTACTCATTACTGAGACATTGAAACACGTTCTATATGGCGTCTAATTGTATAGCAGTCGAAATGGTCATTTACTATAAACGAGCTGTAAACAGAAGCTAACCACGGATTGTTGGGCTTTCTTTAATGAATTTCAGCTGTGCCGCTACGTCTGCGAAACGATGCATCTCTTCTTAATGGTGGTCGTGGCTCTAGCCGCAGTTGCTCCTACACAACAAGGTAAACAAAATAATAATAATAACTATTGCAATGTATATATGTTTATATCCAGAGAAGGACAGTAAGATGGATAGGTTAAACAGATAGGCGCAGGCCAATTGATGTTCACCTAACGAAAAGAATTCGACATAGGACTAGACGGACGCACGGCGCAGTCTAGTCATAAAGGACAACATTGGTGCCTATCATCGAGGCTGAATCGATTCTTCACATCGTCAAATTCCAAGAGTGGGGTTCGGGTATTATTTGTAGATAAACTTCCGTGCAGATCCAAAGCCTATATATATGCCCAGCGCAATATATACACCTATTGGGATATGGTCCCTTAATATATTTGTTATAAGAGAGTCAACATTCTTTGTAAATAAAAGTCAATATAATTGCAAATTTGAAAGGTTATAAAATATATATGCAATATATTAATAACCCGTAGGATAATAACTCAACAAAGTGTATGCATCTAAATAAAAGGACATGCAGCCAAAGCTCGGCGTAGCAAAAGCGCCGTGAAGTCATACGGACAGATTCGATCTACTATTAAGTAGTAAGGGTCTCTATAAAGCAGCCTCATAGAGCGTAGCTTTATAGAATTGATCCTTAGTCGATCGTCCTTAGAGGTGGTTTCCAGGGAAAATACTCTTTCCTACATCGAAAAAAAGGCTTTGGTAGTTGCTGTAAAAAACACTTGAATATTGGCTGACGCTTTACCAGACACGTGTTTAAAAAATACAGTTTAACTTCACAATTAAAAAACATTTTAAGCGTCATTTTTAACGTCATTTTAAGCGAACGCTCGTCAGAAGCTTTTTTAAAGCAACGGCTGAGGTATAACATAGGAAAAACGAACTATTAAAATGCACCTGTTTATTCTGTTTGTATATGTGGGGCAAAGTTCCAAAGGCTCCTTGTCACATACATAACAGCGCCTTCTTCAAAGCGTCAAGTAGGCTAAGTATTCATCGTGTAGTGTGTAGTTGAAATGCCATGCAACGTTTCTGCATTATGTTGCATTACTAGTTGACTTCAGTTTTTTGATGCTTTTTTTACTCCCCAGTTTGCTTTGTCTTGTAGTCACGAACGAAGGACACTTTCGAAAAAGCAGTTGTTTTTTTTTCGTAATGTGGATGGCGCTACGATGACAGCATGAAGAGTATATGCAAACTTGTTCAAAATCCACCTGCAAAGAAGTTTACTTGTAGTGTTCTGGCGAAATCACTATCAAAGAAATAAATACTGTGTGCCCAAAGTAATGTCCATCACGTATCACTCGAGAAAATGGTGACTCACAAACTGGTGCTGCAATATTAGAATTTATTAATAGACTATACTTTGGCATATATAATTAGTAAGTTAGCCTAAACAAATGTGCTTTATTATATTGGTAAAAGTAAAATCGAAGCGATTTTACCTGTTATTAGTTATCGGTCACAAAAATCTCATTCGAGTTTATAGCCTCGGCATCTCGAGTCCTCAGAACTAAAGATTTTACATAAATATATCACAGTGTTAGTCGTTCCAGTTTGAGCGAGCGCTAATTGTATTTTGCAGCCGTTTAGAGTGTTATTATAAGATATGGCCGTCGTGGAATCGATATATATTTGATATGACGAGCATGCGACACTACGACTTCGGCGGAGGTCGTCGACTAAGCTTATTGTTGTTAAATGCTCCCGCTTGAGCTAAGGTTGCGAGGGTTGGACGCTAAGCTGATCCTATTGCCTAAAAACGTTCTACGACGTTGGCTGTTTAGCCAGGAGTTCTACAGAGAGAGAGAGAGAGAGAGAGAGAGAGAGAGAGAGAGAGAGAGAGAGAGAAAGAAACTCGACGGGGTTGAAGGATACCAACAGTCGGTTGAAAGAATCAAAGTCCTTCAACAGAGTTGGAGGCGTTTACCCTAAAGGAGTCGTTTACCAATCAAATGCTCGAGCTATGGATGTTAGAAATTTTTAACAGAAAAGGATCTCTGATACTTCAAGCTAAGCGAGAGAAAAAAATCTGTAAACAATACTAGCACAGGCAAAGGGTTTCTTCGTCCAGTAGAATGGAGCAGACATTCCAAACTTGGCTTGCAAATATCTGCTCACATAAAAAATCCGCAACCAAATGTTATTTCAACATGTTGAAACACTAACGAACTACTCGAATAGAAATAACTCTAGTGTTGTCTAGGGTATGAGGTGAACCATTTTTGTTAAACTATCTTAATTTTAAATTAGCTAAAGAAAGAAATGAATTTGTTATTAGATACATACTCTGCGTTGTATCTTTCTAGTTTCCGGTGAAGTTCGTTTATGTTTTTCTCACTACATTGTATCAAGGTCTCATGAGGCGATTCAAGAGTTTAAAGGTTGTTCCAGAAGAATAAGGCAGTCGATGGCAATAATAGCCGCCTTTAACGTTGGCCGTTATTAGATGAATCAATTAGAATATGAAGCGGATATGTACATATTCCATATATTACAGTTAGCAGAGATACTTCTGCTGCAGCTTATGGAGCAAGCATCTCGACTTGGGCTCTCAAGCAGTCCTTCAGCAACTGCTCCCTCTAACTCTCCATGCTCCTGGTTTATCTGCCGATGACGATGCCGGCGTCACGATATTAGCCAACGAGTAAGACTAACGAAGACTTCTCATCATTAGTTTTGATTCATCTATAAAGGGTAACGAACCTGAATTGTTAGCAAATTCAGAAGCAAAAGAGCTTGCTTTCATAGAGATGCTTTATAACGATCAGAAAATGTGCGAATACTTAACGAAGGTTAGGACACTTGACATTAGAGTACTTTTCATGAGCCAACTGAATTTCTCTCTAGAAATATAATCTGCGTTCTATTAAGACAAGAATTTATTAATCTGTTTGAGATTCAATAAGCATGTACTATTCGTGACATTATCCTGTATTAGATGGGATATATAATCGATCAAAGCCAGGGGTACGGAGCACGTCGATAGCGAGAGAAATACCCAATTTGGTTCTTTCTCTGCAATCTTGATATTGATGCCTAAAAGAGGACCGATAGTCGCTGCAACGAACACTCTTGCTACTATTTAGTACGTGAACTTTTTGAAAGATTTACATTCTAATGGCTTTGCTTGCACCAGGCCTTACCTGAAAACATGCAGCTTATACGAAACGCAATTAGGAAGCACAATTATCATAGGCCCAGCATGCTAATATTAACGATGTTCGTGTCCACAGACAACACAACACGTATCTAACACTGTGTTTTCTAACGTAAAACTCATCTCTTTAGTCGTGAGTTACCGTCGTTGTCTTGTTGCGTTGACTACAACGGCAAAATCAATGGTCAAGAATCTCAAGCTGTAGTAGTGATAGTTGGAAGGTGTTAGCAAATAAAGTTAAGGCTCATTCACGGCGTGCACTCCTACCAGCGGCTGCTTGTTACGCACGTGAAATACACGCTACGCAGCAGTCGCATGATAGAACGAAACGTGTTTACAAGGTACACAAAAGGGGGGCAATAAGCGACGGGCTCTAGCATCAAGGCCGATTGAGCACATTTTCTTCCTACTGCGGGTTCTTCCTACTGAGAAAGAGAGGGCAAGGAAAGGCGAGACAGAAAACAAGGGAGATGTTCCCCTTTCGGTCGTCATCTCCGTTATTGTTGCGGCTGGTTTCAGAACCAGGGCGGAACTGAGCCTGTACGCACGTTCGACGCGACTAGAATCCCATTGACATGGGGAACCAATGTTTAGCTTGGCTAGCTAGTGTCGGCCTAAATGAGCCCACCGGGATTGCCCCTACCATCACATTCATCCTTTTTCTCGTGGTCTCCTTTCAACTCGTTCGTTGCTTTCTGCCTGAATCTCTCTACCGCTGTTCTTTCGCGATTCGCGCGTCCGTTTTCTTTTGATTTTCGCGCTCCCGTTCTGCATGACTCCCTGATCTTGGTCCCCACGAGACTGCTCTTTCTTATAAGCTGCGATGCGGCATTTGGGCTATGGGGGATTTGGCTATTGGACAGCAACGGCACGTCGGGTCACTGCTAACAACAAAAAAGAAGAACTTAGTCGGATATGAAGATAACGGTACCGGCAGTGGCCGGCTAGGCCAACAAAGGACCCAATGGAGAGAAGGGTGACCGCTCGCTCGTTCACCCCGTCAAACCGCTGCTGCTGTTGCCATTGCAGCGACTACCATTATGTCTATTTGGTGGGATTGCGCTGGCTAACCAATGTCAATCGAAAATTCGGTAGATGACGGTGCCGTGACCAGACTGGTGTAAAACGGGCGGCGTAAGAAATCGGGTAAGGCGACGGTGCGAACTAGTGAAGGAGGAACCCAGCTCGGACTAAAGTAGAGGGAGTGTCACAGATAAAGAAGGCGAGACATCGCAGTGCGGTCAGAGTTATGTTGTGTTCTGTGGTGAAAAAGTAAGACAGAGATGGCTGTCGTCAGACGAGTAGGAACTGGCGGGCCACGTGACTGCTATATCGTCGCCTGCCGTACGCAACACACGCTTCAATTTCGCTTTTGCCGGTCCTTTAGTGGATCCGTTAGTGTATTCGTTCAGTCATTTTGAACGGCTAGCAAAAGCTACAGCTCGTTATAGTGTCCGAACAGCATTAGAATCCCTAGAATCTGCTTTTGCCAGCAGTCATTTCAATTGTAGGGGAACTGTACATAACAGCAGTAGCTTGTAGAGCAGATATCATAGTCCATAAGCGACCAGGACGGCGGCCCACGAAGAGAGCTACAGAACGTGTTGCACGAGTGTACGAAAACAGCAGTGGCTCTGTCGCGTCGGTGGGCTATGATAATGCTGTTCCCTGCTAGAACTCCACAGAAGAAAGCCACACTTTTCCTTAAAAAGTGGTGATCTTTCGGTCAATGAGTTGCTGCTGTTGCAATCACAACTGCCGCTTGATTTGTCGGGAAATCAGCTGGCTGGTTAGCTCGTTAGCACTAACTAAGCTTCTGATACATCCGTACCCTCAATTCATACGCGAAGCGGGCACAGAGTAGGCATATAGAAGGAATGGGGTTGCCCCACAAGGTTTTAACGCTTGCTTTGACGAACAGATGGACCCGCTGTTTGATAACTTAATGCGGCTAGATCGCTCTGTTATGTTCATGCACGTTAGTCGTTATTGTTTGGGTAACGCAAGAGCACAGGGAGCTGAGTCAATATTGAGAGCACGACTCTAGGCATTTCACGTGGACGTTTTATTTGTTCACGTTTGTGTGACGACGCATCGCAAGACCGTCATCCAACAAAACACTGCGTTTCCATAACGAGGTAGCCAGCTGTTGTCGTCTAGTTCGACGCACCAGGGCGGTAAAATGGAGTGTGGTTACCTGGCACAGAACACGGCGCGTAAGCACGATGCTTTCTCTCAGTAAAGTCACCTCTATAAAATTATTCGTATTGCAGGCGTAATAGCTAATGATACATGGTATAATGTATGTGAGTAGTTTCATTCAGGCTATAATAGACTCTACCGGCTCAAACTTTGTTTGAACCGGTAATCTCTATTATAGTAAGAATGTGAATATTTACCTGATGCCGGTAAGGCTTGTCCCATTGATAGCCGAGGCCTTAGCGAAACAAGTGTCATAAAGGGTAAGTCACGGACATCTGTGCACAAAATGTTTACCGAGCTCATACACGCAAAAACAAAAGCTTCCTCAATAAGGAATTAATGGGCAAATTTTTATTTATTATTAGGTTTTGGTAGAGGAGGGAGAGGAACTTGAAATACTGTCAAGTTGCAGGCGCGAATCATATTAAGGCTATGAGCTCATGCACGAAAAATAGCAGCGACGACCTGAGATCTCGGGTCGTTAGGCAGCTTACAAGAACGGAGATGTCTCCTAAGAAAGGAAAAAGTACTAGCAATGCTAGGCGGAAGACGTATGTGAAGTATCCGCGGCTATGCGACGTAGCGCCTACATCTCATGACTTCAGTACTAGTGAACTAAGAGTCTCAAGACACTAAGGCTGTGGGAAACTCCCAGCCGAGAGTCGACCAAGGAAAAAGCTTTAAGCTTGGTCTGGTCTTTTTTTTAGCTCAACGATGACTGAATGCCATTTATTTTGTTGCATGGGATATTGTACGCCTAAAATCTTTTTTCCTATTTATAATCTTCTTATATCTGCATATACCGTATGGAACATTACAAATAAGGCAAATATATTATGTTTAGGTTATATGTACGCTACTATATTTTTAGGATGTTGAGTAGGTAGTCGACAAAGAGATTTTGTAGGCTTTGCCGATAGCAATACGTGTTCCAAATGAAAGGACTCTCCTTTATACCACAGCAGGAATATAAAAACTACTTATGCCATAAAATTTACTTTTAATCTTTTGTGGGAGAGGGTAGAATTCTTAAAAACAAGTAACTATTAGGGAATAGGTCAAGTAAAATACCAATGGCACGCCAAGGCGAATAAAAATAACGATAAACATTACATACATACAACATTCGTCTCAGCAGCTTTGGAGAAAAATATAAGCATACATCGGATTTCAAGTTATCTCTATTTTCCTTTCGGTTGGCAACTCGCTAAGAGGGTGAGGACATCACTGCTACATCTACTGTGGAAGACGTAATTTTCTCTACAAGACGTACTTCATAACATTAGAAAATGTACGATTATGTTGTATAATGTTCAGAGTAGTTTTTCTTTCCGGATACATATGTGCAATTGATCTAAATGTGGTTTGTAATCCGATGAAAATTACGTGGGTGGTTAGATTGCAGTTAGAGAGGATCGTAAAGTTCATTGAAACGTTGCCGGCAACAGAACGGCCGACCGAAGAAAAGGAGTCAGTTTTTAAGCTATCTAAGCTGAACAGACAGGTGAAGATCCAGGGAAAACCTGATCTCGTGCATATTAGCTTCCGGATAATCAGTCAGGCCTAAGAAAAACGGTTATGCTTACGTGACTGGGAATACTGGAGAAGGTTATATGAAGCTTGTGGACACTATCTGATGTGTGGGCTTTCCGACATACCTTACTACAGTGCGAGCAATCATGGTACTTAGTATAGCTTGTGCAGGGAGTTGTAATATTATGAAGTCCGTCTGGAGGGATCAGAGGGTTAGAATGTCAGGATGAGAATGATATTACGCGATGCTTTTTTCCATCGAACGATAAGACTCAGCAACGTTTAGAGGGAACACGTTTGACGCTGGTCAGAACTCAGCCTCTGACTTCCGACAGTAGGCTGAGCAGGATCGAATCAGACGCTGGGCCGGGATCGGATGCCGGGGTCGCTTTAACCACGGCGTAGACGGAGCGAAGATTAATAAAGTGTGCTACTGCTACGGTGGCTATTTGCAGAGAACACTATGGTGACCGCGATCAGTCAGCAGCAGCAGCTAACAGCGGCGGAAGTGGTGGATGCCATTACTCGGGAGGCCCAGCCCGCATCTCAGAAGACAACGTCGGCGTCCGCAATTGCCACGGAGAGTTTTCCTTCTGCAACGGCTCTCACGAGCGTGACGGAGACCAGTTCGCCATCCGCGGACGGTAATTCCTCCCCTGAAGGAGTCTCAATAGTACATTCGGAGCTTAAGAATGAGCTACAACATCAAAATCAGTCCGCTTCAGCAGCCGCCGCTATAGTAGGCAGTGGCGTCTCCGTGACGACGATGCCCACGTACACCAGTACCACAGATTCCGCAGCGCCCGCAGCGACAACCACGTTACCACCACCCCCAGAGAAGCCTGAAGAGGTTCTCGATTCCGTTACGAAGGGCCCCGCGGTGGCCGACCGGAGGGTACAGACCGCGGAGGTGTCTGACGGAGTAGTCGCAGTTCCTACTGGAGGAACAGCCTCCGAATCTGATAGCCAAGACCAACAGAGTCCAACCTTTTTCGCTTCCTCTAGCGGGACGAGCACCTCAGGGCCCGCCTCTCAGTCACCGCAGAGCCCGCGAAACCCTAAGTACGTGGACATCGACAGCGTCAAACATCCCGAAGAGCCCCCACCGGAGATTCCGAGTAAACCGTTCCTGCAGAACATAACCGTACGACTGGAAAATCTCGCTTGCGAGCATCCCCAGCATGAACGGCCTGGTTTGCGCATTGATATCGAGAAGACGTTCAAACAACTGGCAGAAAACATTTCTGATGTACAACTAACCGACGCAAGCTGCAAAATGTAAGTACACAGTAAAGCATCACACTGTCCCGCAAGCGACTCGGTCGCCGCCTCTTTCCTTTGTGTTGACGCGAGAAAATGCCGAAACAGCTACTGCCATCTTTCAAACATAAAAAAACAGCAGAATCAGCGGCAAAAACACCAATTGGTACATCACTGCAGGCTGACGCAAACACACACACATTAGGGAAACAAGTTCTGGTACTTAGCTGTCTACCATGGCCCATGTTTGCAAGTAAAACAGAGTGCAAGCGGTCCGAAGCACAAGCTTCCACAGCACAATCCCTCGTTTTTGTTCTCGTTTTTTCGTGCTTTCCTTTTACAACTCACACAAAAGGACCAGTAGACCATAGATGCTGGTTGTCCATGCGAGACTAACGTTGTATTATCCGTAGGTGCTTGCTTGTCGGCTCCGTCGTATCCATTTGAATTCATTTCCTGCCGTATCGCTTGCATTACTGCCTAGTGAGAGTTTACTCGGTAGAAAAAACCAAAAGAGAAAAAGACTCGTTTTTCGGAGCCGTGCCCATCGAGCCATCCAGGCCCTTCTTGACCTGGGCCTGTCCTATGGGCGCGGCCTTTCTCACTGGCCTGCCTCGGCTACACAACAGAACATTTGTAATGCGAACAAAAAAAAGCGTACACTTAGGTGCGAACTAAAATCCGCACTCTGAACGTTGCGGTGTTGTTTGCTGACATTAACCATACCTTTCTGTTTTTATATCTGTTTTTGTTTTTCGTTTTGCCGTCTACCGTATTATTTCCGCAGGTTTCTTACACTTAATCTAACAGTCACAGCAACTGATGGTGACTTCAAGAAACTGCTAGCTAAACTCGAGGAGCACGTAAAGAACATTACTGTGGGAGAACACATGGTTATCACCGGATTCACTCTACACGACGGGTAAGTTATCAATATAGTATATGCTGGCTTGGTATAATTAGAAGATCGAAGATAAGTTTATGTTAAGTCCAGCAACATCACCCACCTATTAGAATACATGCTCGAACTGGCACACCCTAAAGCTAGCTGGAAGTTTTTCCGTATTCACCAATAAAACTCTCAGCACCAATTTAACATAGCTTTTCTATGTTAAGCGAGTCAAACATCATCGGCCCCATGCACCAGCTGTTTTGTCTCTCTTGATTTTTTCATCCCTTAGCGCCCTGTTTAACAATGGACTGCCTAATCAATCAACATACGGGGAATCTTTATTTCATTTTACAGTTATACTATATATGAATTCTTTATACCAATTAGGCTTAGACAAGCAGATCTGAATTGAGGTGGGTGGAAACTTCATTTATGTAGCATATTAGAATCAATACATTAGCCACATATATATA